CCCCCTCCTCCTCCTCATCTCTTCTCTCCACTCCTCCCCTGCTCCCTCCCTCTCTTCTCTTCTCTCCGCCCCTGCTCCCGTTACTCCGGCCCTCTGTTGCTAGGCATTGCAGCGGGGGGGAGGAGCGGCCGAGCCGAGTGAGCCAAAGAGAGAAGAGAAGGAGAGAAGAGAGAGGGAGGATAGGGGACGGGGGGGGGGGAGGCAGAGTGGAGACCAGGCTAGCTACCAAATCACCAGCCGCTGTGCGTGCTGAAACAACAGGCTTTTCTCTCCCTGTCAGAGTGTTCCGTAGAGGCTGGTGCTTTTGCCCATGTTTTATCCCCCTCTCCCTTTCCCTCTGCCGCCTCTAACAGTACTCTATTGTGTGGCGTCAGAGGAGGAGAGGGGGGGGATAGAAAGGGAGGAGGAGAGAAACAGCTAAAAAAAAGGTCATTGTAATGTGTTCCTACTTCCTGCTTCAGAGCTGATTGTTAGAAGCTGTGAAACGGGTTAAGATCATGCTGGCCATGCAACACAGAGGATACGTCCCAAATGGCACCCTATTCCCTATATAGTGCACTACTTTAGACCAGAGAATGGCACCCTATTCCCTATATAGTGCACTACTTTAGACCAGAGAATGGCACCCTATTCCCTATATAGTGCACTACTTTAGGGTGTCGTTTGGAACGAAGCCACAGAGATGCTATCATTGTGATAGAAGGGTTAGGGTTAGGACGCTATCATTGTGATAGAAGGGTTAGGGTTTAGGGTTAGGACACTATCATTGTGATAGAAGGGTTAGGGTTAGGATGCTATCATTGTGATAGAATGATTTACACAAAAACTATAAACAAAAGCATTCACTGTGAAAGTTGATACATGTAGGCCCTTCATATATAGGCTATGAGCAGCCCTTCATATATAGGCTATGAGCAGCCCTTCATATATAGGCAATGAGCAGCCCTTCATATATAGGCTATGAGCAGCCCTTCATATATAGGCTATGAGCAGCCCTTCATACAGTGGGGGAAAAAAGTATTTAGTCAGCCACCAATTGTGCAAGTTCTCCCACTTAAAAAGATGAGAGAGGCCTGTAATTTTCATCATAGGTACACGTCAACTATGACAGACAAAATGAGAAAAATAATTCCAGAAAATCACATTGTAGGATTTTTAATGAATTTATTTGCAAATTATGGTGGAAAATAAGTATTTGGTCAATAACAAAAGTTTCTCAATACTTTGTTATATACCCTTTGTTGGCAACGACACAGGTCAAACATTTTCTGTAAGTCTTCACAAGGTTTTCACACACTGTTGCTGGTATTTTGGCCCATTCCTCCATGCAGATCTCCTCTAGAGCAGTGATGTTTTGGGGCTGTCGCTGGGCAACACAGACTTTAAACTCCCTCCAAAGATTTTCTATGGGGTTGAGATCTGGAGACTGGCTAGGCCACTCCAGGACCTTGAAATGCTTCTTACGAAGCCACTCCTTCGTTGCCCGGTCAGTGTGTTTGGGATCATTGTCATGCTGAAAGACCCAGCCACGTTTCATCTTCAATGCCCTTGCTGATGGGAGGTTTTCACTCAAAATCTCACGATACATGGCCCCATTCATTCTTTCCTTTACACGGATCAGTCGTCCTGGTCCCTTTGCAGAAAAACAGCCCCAAAGCATGATGTTTCCACCCCCATGCTTCACAGTAGGTATGGTGTTCTTTGGATGCAACTCAGCATTCTTTGTCCTCCAAACACGACGAGTTGAGTTTTTACCAAAAAGTTATATTTTGGTTTCATCTGACCATATGACATTCTCCCAATCCTCTTCTGGATCATCCAAATGCACTCTAGCAAACTTCAGACGGGCCTGGACATGTACTGGCTTAAGCAGGGGGACACGTCTGGCACTGCAGGATTTGAGTCCCTGGCGGCGTAGTGTGTTACTGATGGTAGGCTTTGTTACTTTGGTCCCAGCTCTCTGCAGGTCATTCACTAGGTCCCCCCGTGTGGTTCTGGGATTTTTGCTTACCGTTCTTGTGATCATTTTGACCCCACGGGGTGAGATCTTGCGTGGAGCCCCAGATCGAGGGAGATTATCAGTGGTCTTGTATGTCTTCCATTTCCTAATAATTGCTCCCACAGTTGATTTCTTCAAACCAAGCTGCTTACCTATTGCAGATTCAGTCTTCCCAGCCTGGTGCAGGTCTACAATTTTGTTTCTGGTGTCCTTTGACAGCTCTTTGGTCTTGGCCATAGTGGAGTTTGGAGTGTGACTGTTTGAGGTTGTGGACAGGTGTCTTTTATACTGATAACAAGTTCAAACAGGTGCCATTAATACAGGTAACGAGTGGAGGACAGAGGAGCCTCTTAAAGAAGAAGTTACAGGTCTGTGAGAGCCAGAAATCTTGCTTGTTTGTAGGTGACCAAATACTTATTTTCCACCATAATTTGCAAATAAATTCATTAAAAATCCTACAATGTGATTTTCTGGATTTTTTTTCCTCAATTTGTCTGTCATAGTTGACGTGTACCTATGATGAAAATTACAGGCCTCTCTCATCTTTTTAAGTGGGAGAACTTGCACAATTGGTGGCAGCACTTCATATATAGGCTATGGGCAGCCCTTCATATATAGGCTATGAGGGGGGAGGGGAGGAGGGGGGGAGGGAGGGAGAGGAGGAGGGTGGGGAGAGGAGGAGGGGGGAGGAGAAGGAAAAGGAATTGGAGGAGGGAATATAAAGGAGGGAGCAGCGAGGCCGATGGGGCCGATGTTTGAGCGTGTGTGTGTGTGCATCAAGGTCGGGGGTACATTTACACCTGTCCCTCAAGGCTGTGCGTGTGTCTGCAAAGGACTAAATGAAAATCACATCACTTCACTGGGAGGGAGGGAGGGAGGGAGGGAGGGAGGAGGCTGAGTGGGAGGGAGGGAGGGAGGAGGCTGAGTGGGAGGGATGCTGAGTGGGATGCTGGGAAGGAGGGAGGTTGGGAGGGAATGAAGGACGGAGGGAGGCTGAGTGGGATGCTGGGAGGGAATGAAGGAAGGAGCAGGCAGTGTCCTTGGATGGTTAAGTACTGACTGGTGATGGGTGGGTGAATAACTTGTTGGCTGACTGACTGGGTGGCTAGGTGACTGGCTGGGTGGCTAGGTGACTGGCTGGGTGGCTAGGTGATTGGCTGGGTGGCTAGGTGACTGGCTGGGTGGCTAGGTGACTGGCTGGGTGGCTAGGTGACTGGCTGGGTGGCTAGGTGACTGGCTGGGTGGCTAGGTGACTGGCTGGGCTATGGACACCATTGGGAGGGCTTACAACAGACTACCTCCTGCCTACCACCTCAGGCAGTAGGAAAACATATCTGGCTACTCTCTGCAGAGGGCCTGCGAGAGAACTGCCCCTGAACCCCCCTAACACACTCTGATCATCTCAGCACGGCCGTGTCAGGTCGCTAGCCTGCCTTTAGCTAGCATGAATAAATCTTACAGAGAATTCATAGCTGGTCTATTGCTACTAAAGGACGAGCGACTTAATCTGTTACGATTACCTGCCTGTATTTACATAAAATGTGATGTTTTAATAATAGTACAAGACTAGGCTTTACTGTGGAAGAACTTGACTGGCCTGCAAAGAGCCCTGACTTCAACCTCAGGAACTACACAAACCAATATGTTTTACTGGTCCAAGTCAGGAACTACACAAGGACAGACGATATTTACACGCTACGCGCTTCAGCACTCGTGATCTTAGGCTTGTGTGCGGCTGCTCGGCCATGCAAACCCATTTCATGAAGCCAGGCACAACATCGTCTGTCCTCAGTTGCAACACTCACTACAGAGTTCCAAACTGCCTCTGGAAGCAACATCAGCACAATAACTGTTCGTCGGGAGCTTCATGAAATGGGTTTCCATGGCCGAGCAGCCGCACTGGAGCCTAAGATCACCATGTGCAATGCCAAGCGTCGGCTGGAGTGGTGTAAAGCTCACCGCCATTGGACTCTGGAGCAGTGGAAACACGTTCTCTGGAGTGATGAATCACACTTCACCATCTGGCAGTCCGATGGACGAATCTGGGTTTGGTGGATGCCAGGAGAACGCTACCTGCCCCAATGCATCGTGCCAACTGTAAAGTTTGGTGGAGGAGGAATAATGGTCTGGTGCTGTTTTTAATGGTTCGGGCTAGGCCCCTTAGTTACAGTGAAGGAAACGGTGCTTTCAACTTTGTGGCAACAGTTTGGGGAAGGCCCTTTCCTGTTTCAGCAAGACAATGCTCCCGTGCACAAAGCAAGGTCCTTACAGAAATGGTTTGTCGAGATCGCTGTGGAAGAACTTGACTGGACAGAGCCCTGACCTCAACCCCATCAAACACCTTTGGGATGAATTGGAACGCCGACTGCGGCCAGGCCAAATCGCCCAACCTCAGTGCCCGACCTCACTAATGCTCTTGTGGCTGAACGGAAGCAAGTCTCCGCAGCAATGTTCCGACATCTAGTGGAAAGCCTTCCCAGAAGAGTGGGGGCTGTTATAGCAGCAAAGGGGGGACCAACTCCATATTAATGCCCATGATTTCTGAATGAGATGTTCGACGAGCAGGTGTCCACATACTAGCGTATTTTATACCAGAACATTCTAGCCACAGCTGCATTGAAATGGGAATCTAAATGGAGGCCAAACGATACCTCAATCTTTTACTTCTTCCTTACACACACACACACACACACACACAGTTCTTCCAAGCTGAAGAGTTTTTCTGCAGGCGATAAACAGGATGCAGCTGCTCCCAAGACTTGTTTTTTAGGCGGAGGTCCCAACCAGCAGCTATACAGCAGACTCAACCCTTTCTCTGTCTCAACAGCTCCCTCTAATGGCAACCACAGAAATCCATAATAGGCCACTGTAACATTGGAACACTATGGCCTATACAACTGTTTTGTGGACATTGTGCTAGGCAAGCTCAATCAAGCACAGCTTGAACTAAAATAAATACTATTTGAACCCAGCTATGATGCCAAAATGTCCTCGCTGGAGGTTAAAGGTTATAAAATAATAATAATAATGAGTGTCTTACCACTTCGTCCTCTGACCAGCACTTCTCTATGAGTTTTGGAACAGGCTTCTTCACCAGGCGCTGTAGGGCCTTGCCTGCGTCATAACTGCTCTCGTGGAGCTGAGGGAGAAACGTGTCAGTTCAATATTCAGAATATTTTCTTCTTGAAACTATATTTTTATGTTATCTATGGACAAAAATAACAGTACTGCAGAAGGTGAATGTATAAACTACAATTAGAGACAGATGTTAAATGTTGCATTATTGATTCATTAAAGCCTGCATCCCTTCTGCTTTCATGGACACACACCCTAACATGTCAAGTCAACATTATCTACAGGGGACACACCCCAACATGTCAAGTCAACATTATCTACAGGGGACGCACCCCAACATGTCAAGTCAACATTATCTACAGGGGACGCACCCCAACATGTCAAGTCAACATTATCTAGAGGGGACGCACCCCAACATGTCAAGTCAACATTATCTACAGGGGACGCACCCCAACATGTCAAGTCAGCATTATCTAGAGTGAACGCACCTCAACATGTCAAGTCAACATTATCTAGAAGGGGACACACCCCAACATGTCAAGTCAACATTATCCAGAAGGGGACGCACCCCAACATGGCAAGTCAACATTATCTAGAAGGGGACGCACCCCAGCATGTCAAGTCAACATTATCTACAGGGGACGCACCCCAACATGTCAAGTCAACATTATCCAGAGGGGACACACCCCAACAAGTCAAGTCAACATTATCTAGAAGGGGACGCACCCCAACATGTCAAGTCAACATTATCTACAGGGGACGCACCCCAACATGTCAAGTCAACATTATCCAGAAGGGGACACACCACAACATGTCAAGTCAACATTATCCAGAAGGGGACGCACCCCAACATGTCAAGTCAACATTATCCAGAAGGGGACGCAACCCAACATGTCAAGTCAACATTATCCAGAAGGGGACGCACCCCAACATGTCAAGTCAACATTATCCAGAAGGGGACACACCCCAACATGTCAAGTCAACATTATCCAGAAGGGGACGCACCCCAACATGTCAAGTCAACATTATCTACAGGGGATACACCCCAACATGTCAAGTCAACATTATCTACAGGGGACACACCCCAACATGTCAAGTAAACATTATCTACAGGGGACGCACCCCAACATGTCAAGTCAACATTATCCAGAGGGGACACACCCCAACAAGTCAAGTCAACATTATCTAAAAGGGGACGCACCCCAACATGTCAAGTCAACATTATCTACAGGGGATACACCCCAACATGTCAAGTCAACATTATCTACAGGGGACACACCCCAACATGTCAAGTAAACATTATCTACAGGGGACGCACCCCAACATGTCAAGTCAACATTATCCAGAGGGGACACACCCCAACATGTCAAGTCAACATTATCCAGAAGGGGACGCACCCCAACATGTCAAGTCAACATTATCCAGAAGGGGACGCACCCCAACATGTCAAGTCAACATTATCTACAGGGGACACACCCCAACATGTCAAGTCAACATTATCTACAGGGGACACACCCCAACATGTCAAGTCAACATTATCTACAGGGGACGCACCCCAACATGTCAAGTCAACATTATCCAGAGGGGACACACCCCAACAAGTCAACATTATCTACAGGGGACACACCCCAACATGTCAAGTCAACATTATCTACAGGGGACACACCCCAACATGTCAAGTCAACATTATCTACAGGGGACACACCCCAACATGTCAAGTCAACATTATCTACAGGGGACGTACCCCAACATGTCAAGTCAACATTATCCAGAGGGGACACACCCCAACATGTTAAGTCAACATTATCCAGAAGGGACGCACCTCAACATGTCAAGTCAACATTATCTAGAAGGGGACACACCCCAACATGTCAAGTCAACATTATCCAGAAGGGGACGCACCCCAACATGGCAAGTCAACATTATCTAGAAGGGGACGCACCCCAGCATGTCAAGTCAACATTATCTACAGGGGACGTACCCCAACATGTCAAGTCAACATTATCTACAGGGGACGCACCCCAACATGTCAAGTCAACATTATCCAGAGGGGACACCCCCCAACATGTCAAGTCAACATTATCTACAGGGGACGTACCCCAACATGTCAAGTCAACATTATCCAGAGGGGACACACGCCAACATGTCAAGTCAACATTATCCAGAGGGGACACACCCCAACATGTTAAGTCAACATTATCCAGAAGGGGACACACCCCAACATGTTAAGTCAACATTATCCAGAAGGGGACGCACCCCAACGTGTCAAGTCAACATTATCCAGAAGGGGACGCACCCCAACATGTCAAGTCAAAATTATCCAGAAGGGGACACACCCCAACATGTCAAGTCAACATTATCCAGAGGGGACACACACCAACATGTCAAGTCAACATTATCCAAAGGGGACACACACCAACACGTCAAGTCAACATTATCCAAAGGGGACACACCCCAACATGTCAAGTCAACATTATCCAAAGGGGACACACACCAACACGTCAAGTCAACATTATCCAAAGGGGACACGCCCCAACATGTAAAGTCAACATTATCCAGAGGGGATACACACCAACATGCTCTGGATAATGTGGACTTGACGACTTACAGTCACTGCATCAGTACCTCTACTTTAGACGAACAAAGGATTTTTTCACCCGTCAGTTTGTCTAAAGTAGAGAGGTACTGATGCTGTGACTAAGTGTCTGCTAAATGACCATAACGTACAACATGGCAGGCGTGGGTTGTACAGCTACTCACAGTGTTAAGTGCGTTGAGTGTGGTGTCGTCTCGTGAGGCTGCTAGACACCCGTCTTCTGTAGAACCTCCGTCACACATCCCAGCGAAGGCGGCCATGCTCCTGGAGAACAGTCAGAGAACGCACATTAACGGTTGTAGAAACTTCTACCCGACACCAAACAAGCTATAAGTCAGAGAGAAAGAAGACATTCGCAGCTTAGACTGACAAAGATCAATCGTCTTTTTAATATTGTTATACACCTTCCAATACATCTATCACTCTAGGACTCTTGACCCTGTTTCACACTGGAGGTGTCATAATACACATAAAACCTAGCATTCAAACAGAGAAATAGTTCAAATCGTTTTTCCACCATTCATTTTTCCCCATAAGGGATTTTAGAAACACTTCAATTAAGAGCTGTGTTACGTGTAGGCTTACCCTGGCGTAACGTTTAGATAACCGTGTAAATCTCTAGGACAAGGTGTCTTTTAACAATATAATTTGGTTATATTTACGCTCAGATTCGAAAAATGCTAATTAGCATCAAAGTAGACATCATGCAAGACTACAAATCCCTGCAAGCTCCTGCACGCCATCTCTAGCTGTCACCTTTGCTAAGAGGTACATTTAAAGAAATGTAGCCAATTTATTAATTACTACATTCAGCTAACATTAGATAGTTACATTCAGAGATTCATACCTTTGCCTTGATTTGGCAGTCTCGTCCAGATCATCATGGCATTTGTAGTTCTTTATGATAGCCACATTAGCAACTAAATAGCATTTAATTTTGGGGGGTAAATACAGGCGAATATATTGATAAAAGTCACCTTGCCCAAGAGATATTTACACGGTTATCAAAACGTCACGCCAGGGTAAGCCTACACAAAACACAGCCCTTATTTGAAGTGTTTCTAAAATCCTATGGGAAAAAATCCTATGGGAAAAATGAATGGTAGAAAAACAATTGGAACAATTTCCCTGTTTGACCACTAGGTTTTATGGGTATTATGACTCATACTGTGGTACTCTATTGGACTATTCCCTTCTGACATGGAGCAGGGTCATGTCTCCTGAGCTCACCTAGCAGCGCCGAGGCAAGTTGACAGTAGGAAAAAGGTATAGGATTATCTCGCCAGACAGTAGGGTCAAAGGTCATAGGTCAGGTTTCACCTTGCAGCCCTGAGGTACATGAGCAGGTCACAGTCGTTGACCCCTGGCATCCACACCAGCTCCTCATTCTCGGTCACAGCCTGACCCAGGCCCCCCGGGGCCTCGTAGGGGAAGGGCTGCAGCTCGGGAAGCTTGGCCTAATTAGGGAGGGGGGGGGAAGAGAGGGGGGAGATGGTGTCAATCACACTACAAACAGCACCACAAGACTAGCCTGTGAAATATCAGCTTTCAAATCCTTTTCATCACCATCTAACTGAGTGGCTGTCTGAACTTCATGTTGCAAAGCACTATGGTTTAAATATCTTTAACAGGAGAATGTAATTAATCACAGGTCATATTTAATAGAAATGTATAAACACTGGACAGCTACTTTAATAATACATGTAAGGAGACTTACTTGGTGACTGGGCCCTACTCTGATCTCTCCCTGCGTGCTGTTTAGTCGCCTGGTAGAGAGAGAATAAGTTGTTAGATCACAACTATGAAAGTACATACTACAGGGTGCTACAGGACTAGCTCAGTGCAATGACTAGTTCCTCTCCCTTGAGGGAATCAAAAGGCTGAGATGAGATATCTTGTCTTTATTATAGAACAGGTAACCAATCATGTCAATACCTCGGCAACAAAGAGTTTGTTCAATGGAAAACCTCCCATTGTGGGGAACATTTATTAGTAAAAATCAGAAAAGGTGTATTGCAGGTTTTGTTGCAATGTATAATTCAAGATTTATTTATTTTTCTATGGAAGAGATGCTTCTGTGCACAAAGAGAATGGGTGTTCTCTAGGATATTTTTTTTTCTTCTATAAAATGGCAGAAACACCTCAGCTGATTATTCTGAAGCTGATATTGTAGATGCATTCAGCAACAAAACAGCATCCCACTTAAAGAGGAGGGGGAGAAGGTGGGGGGAGGAGATAGAGACACAGCCTGCCTGCAAAATGGCTGCCGGTGGGTTACACACAAATGTAGAAATGTCGGTAACCATGGCAACAACCGCATAGCAACGTAATAATATTAATAATAATAAAGGGTTCCTCCAGCTGCAGGGATTAAAGACAATTTTCAAAAGCCCCCTATCCTCTCCTTTCCCTTCCGTTGCCTAGGTAACGGCGCATAGATTTTCATATAGTATAGTCTCTAGATGGGATGATAGCTGCTGCGGGGCAGAGGCGGCCCAGAAACTGTCAAGAGTGATATTTGAAGCAGAGACACTCTCTCTCTCTCTCTCTCTCTCTCCATCACTGGAGCTGGCTGGGGCTAGGGCTGGCTGGACTGGGTTGAAACCTGAGCCTGCTAGGTCAATGTGGTAACTTTAACAACCTCCAACCCTGACCCTCACTGTGACTGGCCCTGTTTTACACCCCTACCCTCCCCTCTTGCTTTTTCCACGAACCATCACTCCCCTTTTCAACCCCTCCACCAAGCCTCGTCCCCCACTTTCTCTCCTCTCCTCTCCTCTCCTCTCCTCCCCCTTTCCCCCCCGGGCCTCCATCATCCCTCATCCGCTCCACTCTCTCGCCGACAGAGAGCAGATAGTTGTCAGGGAGGGGGGGGGGGGGGGGGGGGGAGTAATGTCCCATACTGTAATAAAATATGGCAAACAGATGCAGCGCATCACGGTAAACTGGACCTAACCGTTGTTCTGGAGGCCAGAACAAGCCAACATCTGAGAAACACGTTCAATACAAGCAGAGGCACAGGTGTGGCCAACTCCTTCAATGTGTGCATGTTTTCGTTCCAGCCCAGTACTAACATGGTCCTGGAGAGCTGCAGTGTGAAGTGAGCTACTCGTAAGGACCTTGATTAGTAGAATAAGGTGTGTTAGTGATGGGCAGGAACAAAAGCCTGCACACACTGTTGCGCTCAAGGGCCAACGGTACCCCCCTCAACCGGAGGATTAGGTTTATTATTGACAGCAGACTGAACACTAGCTCTTCATTACGTTTATTAATGAGAGCAGACTGTATAACAGCTCTTCATTACGTTTATTAATGAGAGCAGACTGTATAACAGCTCTTCATTAGGTTTATTAATGAGAGCAGACTGTATAACAGCTCTTCATTAGGTTTATTAATGAGAGCAGACTGTATAACAGCTCTTCATTAGGTTTATTAATGAGAGCAGACTGTATAACAGCTCTTCATTAGGTTTATTAATGAGAGCAGACTGTATAACAGCTCTTCATTACGTTTATTAATGAGAGCAGACTGTATAACAGCTCTTCATTACGTTTATTAATGAGAGCAGACTGTATAACAGCTCTTCATTACGTTTATTAATGAGAGCAGACTGTATAACAGCTCTTCATTACGTTTATTAATGAGAGCAGACTGTATAACAGCTCTTCATTACGTTTATTAATGAGAGCAGACTGTATAACAGCTCTTCATTAGGTTTATTAATGAGAGCAGACTATAACAGCTCACACTAGCTCTGTGAAGTGTGTATAAGCTTTTGACATGTATGAATGTGTTATGCATGAGTTATAAGGTCTATGTAGGTACTCTTTAAATAAAAGTGTTAACAATCATTTTAAGACGTGAACCAGGCCATATATAATATAATTACACACGTAAAACCTTATATTAGAAGGTGGAAACCTTTTAGAAAATGATCGGGTGCAAGACCAGTGACAAACACAATAAAGTGAAATGTAAAGCGGCTTCTAAAAGTATCCATGGACCACTTTTTCCACGTTTTGTGTTACAGCCTGAATTTAAAATAGATTAAATATAGATTTTGTGTCACTGGCTTACACACAATACCCCATAAGCGGAATTATGTTTTTTGAAATGTTTACTAATTAATTAATTAAAAATGAAAAGCTGAAATGTCTCGAGTCAATAAGTATTCAACCCCTTTGTTATGGCAAGCCTAAATAATTTCAGGAGTAAAAGTTAGCTTAACAAGTCACATAATAAGTTGCATTGACCCACTGTGTGCAATAAAAGTGTTTAACACACATACAATTATCTATAAGGTCTCAGTGAATTTCAAACACAGTTTGAACCACAAAGACCAGGGAGGTATTAAAATGCCTTGCAAATATTGAAAAAGCACACATTAATATCCCTTTGAGCATGGCGAAGATTTTAATGACACTTTGGATGGTGTATCAATACACCCAGTCACTACAAAAACAAAGGCGTCCTTTCTAACTAAGTTGCCAGAGAGGAAGGAAACCGCTCAGGGATTTCACCATTATGCCAATGGTGACTTTAAAACAATTGCAGAGTTTAATGGCTGTGATAGGAGAAAACTGAAGATGGATCAACAACATTGTACACTGAACAAAAATATAAACGCAACATGTAAAGTGTTGGTCCCATGTTTCATGAGCTAAAAATAAAAGATCACAGAAATTGACCATACGCACAAAAAGCTAATTTCTCTCAAATTTTGTGCACAGATTTGTTTACATCCCTCTTAGTGAGCATTTCTACTTTGCCAAGATAATCCATCCACCTGACAGGTGTGGCATAACAATAAGCTGATTACACAGGTGCACCTTGTGCTGGGGACAATAAAAGGACACTCTTAAATGTGCAGTTTTGTCACACAACACAATGCCACAGATGTCTAAAGTTTTGAGGGAGCGTACAATTGGCATGCTGACTGCAGGAATGTCCACTAGAGCGGTTGCCTGAAAATGTAACGTTAATTTATTTACCATAAGCCGCCTCCCAACTGCGTTTTAGAGAATTTGGCAGTACGTCCAACCGGCCTCACAACTGCCGACCACGTGTATGGCGTCGTGTGGGCGAGCGATTTGCTGATGTCAACGTTGTGAAACGAGTGCCCCATGGTGGTGGTGGGGTTATGGTATGGGCAGGCATAAGCTACGGACAACGAACACAATTGCATTTGATCAATGGCAATTTGAATGCACAGAGATACCGTGACGAGATCCTGAGGCCAATTGTCGTGCCATTCACCCGCTGCCATCACCTCAAGTTTCAGCATGATAATGCACGGTCCCATGTCGCAAGGATCTGTACACAATTCCTGGAAGCTGAAAATGTCCCAGTTCTTCCATGGCCTGCATACTCACCAGACATGTCACCCATTGAGCTTGTTTGGGATGCTCTGGATCGACGTGTACAACAGCGTATTCCAGTTTCCGCCAACATCCAGCAACTTCGCAGAGCCATTGAAGAGGAGTGGGACAACATTCCACAAGCCACAATCAACAGCCTGATCAACTCTATGCGAAGGAGATGTCAATTTATTTAAATTGACAGACTTTCTTATATGAACTGTCACTCAGTAAAATCTTTGAAATAGTTGCATATGTTGCGTTTATATTTTTGTTCAGTGTAGTTACTCTACAATACTAACCTAATTGACAGAGTGAAAAGGAAGCCTGTACAGAATAAAACTATATTCCAAAACATGTGTTCGCCATAAGCCACTAAAGTAATACTGCAAAAAATGTGGCAAAGCAATTAACTTTTTGTCCTGAATACAAAGTGTTACAGTGAGGGAAAAAAGTATTTGATCCCCTGCTGATTTTGTATGTTTGCCCACTGACAAAGACATTATCAGTCTATAATTTTAATGGTAGGTTTATTTGAACAGTGAGAGACAGAATAACAACAAAAAAATCCAGAAAAACACATGTCAAAAATATATATATATTGATTTGCATTTTAAATGAGGAAATAAGTATTTGACCCCTCTGCAAAACATGACTTAGTAATTGGTGGCAAAACCCTTGTTGGCAATCACAGAGGTCAGACGTTTCTTGTAGTTGGCCACCAGGTTTGCACACATCTCAGGAGGGATTTTGTCCCACTCCTCTTTGCAGATCTTCTCCAAGTCATTAAGGTTTCGAGGCTGACGTTTGGCAACTCAAACCTTCAGCTCCCTCCACAGATTTTCTATGGGATTAAGGTCTGGAGACTGGCTAGGCCACTCCAGGACCTTAATGTGCTTCTTCTTGAGCCACTCCTTTGTTGCCTTGGCCGTGTGTTTTGGGTCATTGTCATGCTGGAATACCCATCCACGACCCATTTTCAATGCCCTGGCTGAGGGAAGGAGGTTCTCACCCAAGATTTGACAGTACATGGCCCCGTCCATCGTCCCTTTGATGCAGTGAAGTTGTCCTGTCCCCTTAGCAGAAAAACACCCCCAAAGCATAATGTTTCCACCTCCATGTTTGATGGTGGGGATGGTGTTCTTGGGGTCATAGGCAGCATTCCTCCTCCTCCAAACACGGCGAGTTGAGTTGATGCCAAAGAGCTCCATTTTCTGGATTATTTTGTTGTTATTCTGTCTCTCACTGTTCAAATAAACCTACCATTAAAATTATAGACTGATCATTTCTTTGTCAGTGGGCAAACATACAAAATCAGCAGGGGATCAAATACTTTTTTCCCTCACTGTATGTTTGGGGCAAATCCAATACAACACATTAATGAGTACCACTCTCCATATTTTCAAGCATAGTGTTGGCTGCAAAAAATATACATAATATCCCTATGCCCCAGTGA